CTTTGGTACCGGGGATTGAACTTGGGTCCTTGTGCTTGCACAGCAGGTGGCGAAACCACTGAGCTAAATCCCCGGCGCTGTTGCCAGTGGTTTTTTTAAATTAAAAAAAATTTTTTTTTTCTTTTTTCTCGGTACGGGGGATTGAACTCAGGACTTTGCGCTTGCGAGGCAGGCGTGCTGCCACTGAGCTAAATCCGCAGCCTTATATTTTTCTTTATTCCCAGAGAGTCCCCTGTTCCACTTAGGTACATGTTTGTAATTGGGCACTACACAAATGAACTTTGACCATTTGGTTCTTGGTGTTGGGCTCTGAAGGCCTCTCTTTACACAGCTTGGTCTCTCTCTGCATTGCCCCTCCTTGTAAATACCCTCTCGCTCCATCCTGCTTGTTTTGTATTCTTTGTGAGCAGTTGTATCTTCAGTGCCTTACGACCCTGTCTGGCATATTGTAGGCACTCAAGAAATATATGCCAAATGAATGAATGAATTATAGAATTTCTTCTGAAACTTCCATAGTTTTTTTCTGAATGGCAAGTAAGATTTTTTATATATTGCTGTATCCTTAATATATTACTATTTAATTGGCATTCAAATTTTTTTTTGGTACTGGGGATCGAACTTCGGACCTGGCACTTTCGAGGCAGGCGGCAGAACCACTGAGCTAAATCCCTGGCCCTGGCATTCAATATTGAATAAATTAATTAGTCAGAATACCTGTTAAGTGTGGACTGAGCATTTCACGATGTGATTATTTGCATGTGGATTTTGAAATGCTTGAATCTATTTGTCCCCCACAAAGCTAAATCTAGATTCTCTTTAAGGCCTATTCTTAGCCCCCAAATTCAGTGCTGCTTATTGAGCTAGTGCTAATCAATAAAATCCTTTAGATATACTATGAGTTAAATATGACTTTGTGGAGCTGAGCTGGTGGTGCAGGGCTATAATCCCAGTGGTTCGGGAGGTTGATAAGGAGGATTCCAAGTTTGAGCCCAGACTGGGTAACTTAGCAACTTAGTGAGACCTTGTCTCAAAATTAAAAAACAGAAGATAAAAAAAGGACTGAGGATGTAGATCAGTGTGAAGGCCCTGGGTTCAATCCCCAATATTGGAGGGGAAAAAAAGACTGCAGGCTTGTCTGGGATCTTAGCCACCGTTTATTACATTGTGTGGAGAAAGTTATTTAATATCCCGCATATAACTTGGAACAATCCCATGTATAAGTTGGATTCTTTTCTGTTTTTGAAAATATGGTTATATATAACTTGTAAGCTTAGTTTCAGAGATTGTTTTTAAATATTTTTGTCCTAAGAGACTTTTCTGGGACTTTTTCTTTCTTGGTACCAGGGATCGAACTCAGGATTTGTTCTTGCCAGGCAGGCACAGCTCCACTGAGCTAAATCCCCAGCCCTCTAGGAGTATTTAAAAACTAACAGCACTCTAGACTGTATATTTGGCTTTAACTGTTGGTGTATTTGCTATCAGTTTTTCATTTTTTTTTCAAGTTAGGGGTGAAGAACTTAAAAATAAAAATGTGAGCTGGGGATTTGGCTCAGTGGTGTCCTGCCTGCCTTGAAAGCGCAGTGTCCTAAATTCAATCCCTGGTATGGAAAAAAAAAAATTAAAAATGTGATGCTCACAAATATAAAATGAGAATTAGCCTCCCTCCCCATTTACTATGAAAACATAAGCTGTGTTAAATCATTTCAGTGGCTGTCTTTGGCATGACATGTTTAAAAGGTTGATGCATAGTTTACAGCCAGATGCATCAAAGTATAAAATCCAGACTTCTCAGCCTTGTCTTTGTAATCTGAGATTTTCCAGAGAATGGATATTGAAACCTTTCCTTCCCTAAAGTGGTCTGCAACAGCTACTTGGCAGTGTATCATTTTAGATACATTAGAAACAATCGGTGTTATGTAAAGCCAGATAGAGTACTGTACTAGACTGTGCAGTTTAGGACCTGAAGACTGTAGCTTTGAACTTGGGCTCTGATGGAGAGAATCTTTGTAATCTTGGACAAGTGAACTATGCCCCAGAGCCTCCATCTTTTCATCCCTTGTACAGAGATAATAATAGTTCTTCTACCCACAGTACTTAACAAGTTACTCCTTTCTGCAGAGCAGTTTGGTGCATAAGTGAGTGTGAGTAATCCAGTGGCAGAAGTACTGGGTTTCAGTCTTGCACCATGCTTATTGGCCTTACAGTCTTGCAGGTTGTACATCATTTTAACATCACTAGCCCTTAGATTTCTCTTATGTGAAATTAAGAAAACACCTTACCAACTCTAAAGCACTGTGAAAACATTTTACTGCGTGATTCTACTGTAGATCTTTTGCTATTCTAGGTCTCTTCTGGTTCCAGACAGACTCTTCTGTAGATCTGACTGACAATTCTATAGATATAATTTCATTTTTTTCAGGTGTATTAGGAAAAAGAACACGATTCCAGGAAAATTATGTAGCACAACTGATTGTGGATGTAAGAAGGGAAGGGGATGGCCTTTCAAACTCTGAATTCAGTCCAGCACCCACCCCTCAGGAACGTTTAACCAAGGTAAGTCAGACTGTAAGTTACTTAGTTGAGTTAACACCCAGGTCTAATCATTAATAGTAGGTGAGTACTGCAGATGCCCCAAGTGGGGTAGGAAAAGGCTTCATTTTTTCCCCTCTTAAGCCTTTTCAAGGTAGCTGGGAGAACACTGTGTTGAAGACTTTATTTTTTACCCTTAAGGAGAAATAAATGGTATTTTACTTATAGAATTCAATAAATTTGAATTAATAATGCAGTCAGTTATGTATTACCCCCTTGAAGACTGAAGAGAAACTAACTTTTCTAGCTGCTACTGTATTTTCACTGTACTTTCGCTTTCTGTGGATGTTTGTCAGCGATCAGAGACTTGAGATTTCTTTGACTTCTTCTAAATATGTAAACCAATGATCAGGATTCCTTTTCATCAGTTTTATGATCTCCCTTTTGTTACTCTGTCATTATTGGATTGGTTGCTTCGTTAGTGTGCTTTTTTGACATGTCTAATGCATTCTGACTTTGTCGCTTGAATTTATGATCTCGATTAGGTTTTACTTAAATGTGTCTCTAGCTGCTTCAATGGATGCTATTAGAATTTAGACTTTTTATTCCCAGAATCCCACACCTACATTTTTGTTTGTTCTTTGATTAATTTTACTCTTTAAAGCCCATGTTTTTCTGCTTTTCCCTCAAGAACCTGCAAATATAATTACCTTAGGTACACTGGACACTGAAATCGTTTCTGTGCTGAGAATTAAGCCAAGGCAAGAGGCTAGGGATAAGTGCAGTGGTGACAAACCTATGGCACGTGTGGTGCAGTGGGCTGTTTGTATCATTGAATGCTCTGAAAGATTTGCCATCACTGGCTAAGCGGGAGGAGTGGCAGCTACCATGTCTCAAGGAAGGCCTTTGAGACATACTGCTTATTTCCTAGGGTTAGACCAAATGCTTTATTTTTTGCTTTTGTGATAACCTCTGTGAGGGGCAGTTACTGATTCCCAGAGTGAATGAAAAGAGTGGTAGGAATTCAAGGATCAGATTGCACAGGGCACAGACTGCGCTCTGTGAAGGATGAGTGGCTGTGACTGAGCACAAGTGTATACCACTGGGGTTGGTTCTGGTCAGGGAACTGTGCTGCTGCCTGCTTCCGTTCTTTATTTCCTCCTGATATATTCTGGTCCCTCCTCAGCCCTCTCTCTACACCTTAGATGAACTGGCATAAGCTTGAGTTTTAGGTCATAACACAGTGTCTATGAAAAGAGATTTAATTCTGAAATCTAAGCATTTTATTTAGTAATGCATATTTTTACTGTGTTCTCCTATTGAAAATTGTCTTTGATTATGATAAATATGAAATGATGACTCTTGTAAAGAATGTATAAAATATGATATATAATTTTTTTTTGGTACCAAGAATCAAATTTGGGACCTTGTACTTGTGAGGCAGGCAGCAGAACCACTGAGCTAGATCCCCGGCCCGATATATAATTTAATATAGAATTTATTTAACCTTTTCATATTTGAAGTAAAATACATTTAGATAATCTTACAGTCCTTGTTAATTATGACCTAATGCCAAATATTAGTTGTGTAATATTGATATGGGTTAGATAGAAACAACTTTTTTTATTCTCATGAATTGAAGATAGGGCCAGGGATTTAGCTCAGTGGTTCAGCCAACTGCCTTGTAAGCTCAAGGTCCTGAGTTCGATCCCCAGTACCCCAAAAAAAAAAAAAAGAATTGAAGATAGAATCATGTTAAATTAGTTATATATCATCAAATGTGGTGGTGCATGCTTGTAATCCCAGGAACTCAAGAGGCTGAGGCAGGAGGATTGCAAGTTCAAATCCAACCTGGGCAACTTAGTGAGACCCTGTCCCCCCACCCCCACCCCAAAAAAAGTAATCTGCAGTAAAGCTCAGTAGGGGAACTCTTGTCTGTCTTGCCTGAGACTTGGGTTACCACCAAAAGAACAAACCAAACCAAAACAAAAACAGTTGTATATCATATTTCTTTTCTTCTAATAGATTATAAAATCCATTATGTATTTAATAACTACTCTTCTGGGGAAAAAAGCACCATACCAGTTCTGGCGATTGCAAAAGTATGTCCTGATTAGAAATGTTACAGTGTGAAAATATACCTTGTGGAATTGTGGCTATGCAATACCTTTACTGCCAGTGAGGAGCACAGTATTTTCCCTTTGAGCTTTCCTAGATTTATAATGTGTTATTATCGGAGAATTACATGGACTAGAGGTGTTGGATAGCAGGGTACAGTAAACCAGCAATTATGAGCCACACCATTGTGTAAATCTAACACACTGCCTCTGTTCTTTAATGTTCACCTGTTGGAGGGGGTAGGGGGGAGAATAAATTAAAAGATATATTTATAGAAAACAGAAATACACACTTGCTCAGCTGCCTTTGACATTAAGTGCACATTAAGGGGCCAGGGGTTTAGCTCAGTGGTTCTGGTGCCTGCCTTGCAAGTGCAAGGTCCTGAGTTTGATCCCCGGTACCAAAAAAACAAAAAAAAAGAAGTGCACATTAAATCCTGAATATCCCCCAAAGAATTAAAAGAATCATACCACAGTGATATATGTGTGCCCATGTTCATAGCAGCGCAGTTTGTAATAGCTAAAACTTGGAAACAGCCCAAATGCCCATCAACTGGAGACTGGATAAAGAAAATGTGG